GGGGAAGAGGAAAGGGGGAAGAGGAAAGGGGGAAGAGGAAAGGGGGAAGAGGAAAGGGGGAAGAGGAAGGGGGAAGAGGAAGGGGGAAGAGGAAGGGAAGAAAGGCGCAGAGCTGCGGCCGCTCACCAGCGCTGCCCCCCAGCGCCGCGTTCTGCAGCTCCCGTTCCCTCCGGTCCAATTCCTCCGCCTTCCGGTTCAGTTCCTCCTGCCGTTTCAGCAGCTCGGCCGTGGCAGCCGCAGCCGAAGCCTACGGGATCGTCACGGGGCTCGGTTTCCACCTTCCTCCTTTCCACCCCCCCCTCCCTCCGCGGCCGCCGGTTCCGTACCTGCGTCCCGTAGGAGCCGTAGTTGCGCGGTTCGGTTGGGCTCGGTCTCCTCGGGGGCTGCGCGGTTCCCGGTGGCGGCGGCGCAGCGTCGGGCAGAGCGCGGTACGGCGGCGGCGGCTGCGGACGGAGCGAGAAGAGAGCGGTGAACGGCCCGGAGAGCACCGGACGGACCGGGAAACGGAGCCCCGGAGCGCTCAGCTCCATCCGGGCTCGGTTCTCACCGCGCCGCTCTCGAAGGGATTATAGGCGTCCAGCGTTGTGCTGTCGGGGCCGGGCCGGTGCTGAACCACGGCGGGGTCCTGCAAGAGACACGGCGGGAGCTGAAACCGGGAGCTGATACCGGGAATTGATACCGGGAGCCGATACCGGGAATTGATACCGAGAGCCCAGACCGGGAACTCAGACCGGGAGCTCATACCGGTAATTGATACCGGGAACTCAGACCGGGAATTGATACCGGGCATTGATACCGGGAACTCAGACCGGAAGCTCATACCGGGAACTGGTACCGGGAGCTCGGACCGGAAGCTCATACCGGAACTGGTACCGGGAGCTCGGACCAGGAGCTCAGACCGGAAGACTCGTACCGGAGCTGATACCGGGAGCTCAGACCGGAAGCTCATACCGGAGCTGATACCGGGAGCTCGCACCGGAACCGGAGCCGCGGAGCACTGCAGCGCACGCACCTGGAATGGGTTATCCGGGAGCACCGCGGGGCCGCCGTGTTGGGCCATGGCCGCAACGGGACCGGGAGCGAACCGCCGCCGAGTCCGCCGCGCCGCCCCGCCCCGCGCCTCTGATTGGCCGCCCGCCCCCACGACGTCACCGGCGCCGCTCGGGGCTCCCGAGAGCCGCACCGCGGGGGGCTGTGCGCATGCGCGGGGCCGGATAGAAAGCGGCGGCCACGTGACGTGACCACGTGGTCGGAGTCACGTGGCGGCGCGCACGCTCTCCCTCCACTTCCGGTCTCACTGCAGTTTCCTCACCGCGCGGCCCGCTGGGAGCGCGTCTCCACAGCAACGCCGTTTCCATGGCAACGGCGCGCCGGGGCCTGCAGGGAAACTGCGGGCCGCCAGGCCTACACAGCAACGGCCGGGCTGAGCACGAAGCCGCTCCGCCGCTCTCTACTGCGGAGATCCGAGCTCGGGTGGACGCCCCGATCCGAGAGAGGTGGGCTCGGCGCCGCTCCCTGCTCCTGCAGTGCAAACCCGGGGGGAACGCAGCCCTGGGGGGGGGCAGCGGGGGGGGGGGGGGAGGAGGAGCTGTGGGCCACGATGGATGCAGGACTGAGGACAGAATCACAGAATGGTTTGGGCTGGGAGGGACCTCAAGGATCACGGAGCTCCGACCCCACAAAGCCACCAACCTCCACGTTTCACAGCAGCCCAGGCTGCCCAGGGCCCCATCCAACCTGGCCTCCAACACCTCAGGGATGGACGGGGCATCCACAGCCTCTCTGGGCAGCTGTTCCAGCACCTCACCACTCTCATAGTGAAGAATTTCCCCCTGACACCCAACTGAATTCTGCCCTCCCTCAATTCCAGCCATTTCCCTCGTCCTGCTCTCATCTCCCCTTCCCAAGAGCTGACTCCCCTCCTGTTTGTAGGCTCCCTTTAGTACTGCAGGCTGCAGTGATTCACCCCGCAGCTTCTCTTCTCCATGCTGAACAAGCCCAGCTCCCTCAGCCTGTCTTTGCAGGGAGGTGCTGCAGCCCTGCTCATCTCTGTGGCTCCTCTGGACCCTCTCCAACAGCTCCCTGTCTTTCTCCTCCTGGGACCCCCAGCCCTGGACGCAGTGCTGCAGATGGGGCCTCACAAGAGCAGAGCAGAGAGGGACAATCCGCTCCCTGTCCCTGCTGGCCACCCCTCTGCTGCAGGAGCCCAGGATCACATTTGCTTTCCCAGCTGTAATCATGCCCTGCTGCCTCACGTTCAGCTTTTCACCCCTCAGGACCCCCAGGTCCTTCTGTGCAGGGCTGCTCTCCATGGCTGCTCCCTCCAGCCCAAGTGCAGAATTTCACACTTTGCTGTGTTGAACCTCATTATGTTGATCCACGCCCACCTTTCAATCCTGTCGAGGTCCCTCTGAATGGCAGCCCTTCCTTCCACTGTGTCATCCATACCTCTCAGCTTGGTGTCATCACCAAACTTGCTGAGGGTGCACTCAATTCCGTCATTGATAAAGATGTTAAAGAGCACTGCTCCCTAGACAGACCCCTGGGGGATGCTGCTTGTTACTGGCCTCCACCTGGACAAAACCTGGCAGCTCCTGGAGCAGCAACACAGCTCAGCCCACAGCTGCCTCCATCCCCAGCTCAAAATACTGCTCAGCCCTTGGCCAACGGAGCCCCACACACACATAGATCTGATCCTTCACTGCAGCCCAAGGTGCTGCTGGCCGGGGCAGAGCAACTAAAAGCTGTGCATTCAGGATTTGGGTGATGCAGTGCACTTTGTGTTCTGGTTTTTACATTGGGACAGACAGACAGACTGCAGCTACGACTGCTCCATGCAACTCCAGCAGGGCTGGGTACACACAGCAGGACCTCTGAGCTGTGATACTGCAGGCTGTGGGTAACAGCTCCCACTTTAAGATCATACATGCATGAAAACGACCTGCTCTCACCCCCCTGCCTCCCTCCATATCCTCACACAGAGCCAGGGCTGCCTTTTATCCCTCTGTGTGATGGCAAACAGGACAGAGGCAGATGGAGCACCAGCACAGCAATACAATCCTGCAGAGCACTGTGTCTGTCTGCCCCAACAGAGCCCTGCTGCCCCTCCACGCACGGCCCTGAAAGTTTCTTCACTTCATATTTATTTTCCCACAAAGACTGTACAAAATCCTTATAAAACTCTGGTGTGAGGATGGGCTATGACAGCGATCCAAAAAAATAATTCCCATGCAGTCCCACCAGTTTCATAACTTACACGGAAACAGAGAAGCTACAGAGAGCTGCAAGTCCTGGATTCTGTACACTGAGGGGCGCAGGGTTGAGCAGGAGACAAAGCAACACGTGAACAAAAGTATTTACAGTATGGACATGCAGACCCCCCCTCGCCCCCTGGCAATGTTGGCAGCAGGAGGTGGGGCCTGCAGTGCTCAGAGGCCGATATAGAATATGAGCTATTTACAGTATCTCACATATTAACAGCTTTACAAACACGTCCAGGGAGATTTGTATGTATCAAAAAAAAAAAAGGAAAGAAAAAGAAAGGAAAAAAAAGCACCAAATGTCTGAATAGAAATCGCACAGGCCTCCACGGGGGCTAAAATCTGAGGGCAGGATGGCACCTGTGGCGTCACCGGCTGATGTCTCTGCTAGAGTCCCACATCTTTGTGCTCGGCTCCATCTCCAGCACGTCAAAAAATGGGTGCTTGAGGGCTTCAGCCAGGCTGATGCGTTTGGACGGCTCGTACTCCAGCATGCTCTCAATGAGGTCGAAAAGGCGGTGGTGGTCCTCAGCCTCAGAGGTCAGGTAGCGCTGGGGGAAGGGAGGAGGGGGAGGTCAGGGCAAGGATGCTGCTCCCCGTGCTGCTCACAGTGCATTCTGAGGGGCTGAAAGCTAAGCTGGGGGAAGGAGAGGTCTGCTCAGCCCTTCCCCGATCCTAAGCTCCACCTCCAGGCCACCTGAAAAGCGTGGGCCTGTTGAGTTTCACCCCCTTCCTCCCCCCTACCCTCCCCCTTTCTTTCCTTCCCAGGCACTTCCTGAAGTCTCCTTGCCCTCCTCCTCATCCACTTCAGGTTAAGCTCAGGCTGCTGCAGTCTTCCTAGTTTTATGTGTGGGACAGCCAAGGCTCCTTTCAGCAGGACACTGGTCTGAGCCTTTCAGTGGCCTAACCTTGCCCACAGGAACCATCTTCAGAAGTGGGGCTGGCACTGTAAAGCTCTGCAATGAGAAAAGGATGAAGCAATCAGGTGCTCCCACCCACCCCACCTTACCCGCAGAGGCTTGCAGTTGTCCCTAACGTAACGGCCAGCAGAGGTGTTCTCATCCCAGTCCAAACGGCCATGGTAGAAATACTTCTGCTTCCTGTCAGAAGGAGAGGTGGGAACAAATTGCAGGTGCCACCCAAGCACCCAACCGTGGCAGAGCAGTGCCAGGGCTGCAACAGGTGACTCAGGACACCGCAGCAGCACGGACAGCTGACTCAACTCAGGCAGCTGCAAAGCTCGATATGCCTTGAAGGAAAACACTAAGCATGATGTAGGAAAGAGCCAGGAAACCTGCAGAGCCCAGCAGGACTCGCTCACCTGGTCTTCCGGATCATTCGAGAAGGAATTGGCCCCAAGATCCTCTCCATCATGGCCAGGTGCTCCCGGTTGTCGTGTGTCTGAGGGAGATAAACGTGAAGGAAAAGCATGGAACACATTCCAGTCATTCTGCCTCCAGCCCTGGAGGATTCCCAGCTCAGGAGCCCTCGTTGGCCAACACTTTGGTCATCTCTACAACAACTGCAGTGATGGAGGGAACTCCATCGGTCCCAGAGGCTGCAGGCTGCGCTGGGAAGCAGCCAACGTCCTCTTTCACCACTTGTGAGGAAGCCACACAGCACACAGTTCTCACCTGGAACAGGGTGAAACCCACATAATACTCAAAGATGATGCAGCCGATGCTCCAGACATCACAGGGCTGGCTCCAGCCAAGCTCTAAAAAAACAAAAGTTTGTAAAGAAGAGATGCAGCCATGACCCAAGATTCCAAATCCTCCCCTCTTTCCCCCTCTCTCTCACCCTTTCAAGAGCAAACAAGCCATCAGAAAACCAATTCCCATTTCAGCCCACTCTCCTGATACACCGGTGGCAACGCACTGCCCAGCTGACAGCAGTGCCAAACACCCAGTTCCAAACTGCTGCCTGTCCCCAACCTCAAAAATAGGGCCGCAGAGCAAGCAAGTGAAGCAGCTCTGACCTCCCAGGCTAAACTACTGAACTCCCAACTGAATGATACGGGAGGCCAACGCTTCTTAACCCAGCAGGCAGTGCTCAGACCATGCAATACCCACCCAGAATGACCTCAGGGGCCCTGTAGTGCCTGGTAGACACAATTGTGCTGTGATGCTCGTGGTCAAACGTGGCACTGCCAAAATCCACCACTCTGATGGCCGTGCTCTTCACACTGCGCTCATCCCGCTTCTGCGTGAGGGAGGAAGACATTGGTTACTCAGGAGCTCTGAGATGAAGGCTGAATCCCTCCTTACACAGCCAACCCTTCCCCACAGGGTCCTCCCATTCAGCCAGCACACCTCCCAGGGCCACATCCAACCCCTTCCACCTGCTAAGGGCAGGGAAAGCAAGGAGCCAAGCCCTGAGCTCTGAAGCAGAGCGTTACCTTTTCCAGGTTATAGGTGAGCTCATAGTCAGAGTTGACAAAGAGGATGTTTTCAGGTTTGAGGTCGGTGTGAGTGAGTTTGTTGTCATGCAGAACTGAGGAAGCAAACAGAATCAGAGCTGAGAAACAGAAGCAAAGCAAGGCTGCTAACAACAGTTTGTTTTGCTCCAACTGGCACCGGTTTGGCCCACGGATGGGGCTGGGTGTGAACAGTCATCACAGGCCAAAGTGCTTCAAGAGAAGCACAAAGATTGATTGTATTGATCACCAGAATGCACGCAGCCCTCCGTCACTGCCAGCCCACACGCATCAAAAACATCAGGAAAAGGAAAAGGGTTCATTCCAAGCACACATCCAACACCAGAAGGGCAGGAAGGCTCAGTCTCAGAGCTGGCAGAGCAGCATCACAGCCAAGGCTGCACTGCTCCACACTCCCAATGCAGAACTGGCACTGAGGATGGGAGCTGTGTGGCTCTGCAGCACAGCTGAGGACCAACAGATTGAAGAGCAGTGAGCACTTACATTTCACAGCCTGGCACACCTGGAAGGCCATGTGCCGCACTTGGTGGATGGGGTAAGGCAGATAATTGTTGTCCTTCAGGAAATCAAAAGTGCTGAGCCCCAGCAGTTCAAAGGAGATGCACATGTGGCCATGGTAGTCAAACCAGTCAAACATCCTGACACAGAGGCTGGGGAGAAAGGCTCTGATGCAGAGAGGATCCGCGTGCAGCACTCAGCTCTGTGCTGCAGCTTTCCTTTTCCTTGCTGCGTTTCTACCCCACAGAACCCGACCCAACACGCCACTAAGAACCAGAAACTGAGCTACAAAAGGACTCAGCACCTCTCACCCACCCTGCAGCTGGGCTGAGTCAATGCCTTCCCTCCTGTACTGCTAACACCAGTGCACTCACTTCTTGTTCTCAGGATCCTTCTCGTTGATTTTCTCCAGCACGTTGATCTCCAGCCTGGCAGCCTCTTTGTACTTCTCCACATTTTTAATGATTTTGAGAGCAACACGTGCACCACCCCTGGCAAGAAACGAGAAGAAAGTTCATATCATCACTCCTGAGATGGCTCAGTGCTCCACAGAGGGCTTTCTGAAGCAGCTTCCTCCTGTGAATCATAGAATCATGTGAAGACGTGTGCTGTGCAGCTTTCTGCCCTTGCTCAAACCAGAAGGAAGCAGTTCCTCAAAGGCTGAGGAACAAAGCAGAGCCCCTTCCCTCTCTAGGAAGAGCTGCAGCACACGGGTGACCCACAAGGAGAAATGCTCCTCAAGAGATTTGAAAGATGGGCTCAGGTGAATCTAGTGAGGTTCAACACAGCACAGTGTGAAATTCTGCACTTGGGTCAGAGGAATCCCAAGCACTGATAGAGACTGGAAGGAGCAGCCATGGAGAGCAGCCCTGCAGAGAAGGACCAGGGGGTCCTGAGGGATGAAAAGCTGAACGTGAGGCAGCAGGGCGTGATTGCAGCTGGGAAAGCAAATGGGATCCTGGGCTCCTGCAGCAGAGGGGTGGCAGCAGGGACATGGAGGTGATTGTTCCCCTCTGCTCTGCTCTTGTGAGGCCCCATCTGCAGCACTGCGTCCAGGGCTGGGGGTCCCAGGACAAGACAGACAGGGAGCTGTTGGAGAGGGGCCAGAGGAGCCACAGAGATGAGCAGGGCTGCAGCACCTCCCTGCAAAGACAGGCTGAGGGAGCTGGGCTTGTTCAGCCTGGAGAAAAGAAGGCTGCAGGATGATCTCATTGCAGCCTGCAGTACTAAAGGGAGCCCAAAAACAGGGGGGGGAGTCAGCTCTTGGGAAGGGGAGATGAGAGCAGGATGAGGGGAAATGGTTGGAATTGAGGGAGGGCAGATTTCAGTTGGGTGTCAGGGGGAAATTCTTCACTATGAGAGTGGTGAGGTGCTGGAACAGCTGCCCAGAGAGGCTGTGGATGCCCCGTCCATCCCTGGAGGTGCTGGAGGCCAGGTTGGATGGGGCCCTGGGCAGCCTGGGCTGCTGTGAAACGTGGAGGTTGGTGGCCCTGCCTGTGGCAGGGGGTTGGAGCTTTGTGATATTTGAGATCTCTTCCAACCCAAACCATTCTGTGATTCTGTGACCCCACAACCCCACTTCCCCCCCAGACATACCTCCGGTGATCCATGCACTGCACCACTCTGCCGAATGTGCCTTCCCCTAAAGTGCTGAGAATCTCATCTGGGAGGGAGGAAAAAAGAAGAGAAAAGGGCATGAGAGAGTGAGCAGGACCTGGATGAGGCGCGTACACGAGGCAGAGGAGAATGCATTGCAAAACCTAACCTGCACACAGCTTGAGAGACCGGAGCAGCGGAAGGCTGACACCGGCTGCACGAGGCAGCTGCCCTAAATTCCCTGCCACTTCAATAACAATACAAGATATAAACGTAGCTTTAACGAAACAAAACAAAAGGGGAAGGAAAAGGAGAGGGTTTCTCTTTAATAAACAATGGAAATAAAAATGGAACAGAAAGATAAGACAGATCTGCGACTGCGATGGGAGCTTAACTAGAGAGCTAAATTATGTTACGATTTGGCTGTACATCTTTCTTGTAGCCAGTCGCCGATGCGATAGATCAGATGCCCCTCGTCGTCGTCCTCCACACTCTTGGCCCTTCTGCTGCTCTGTCGACTCCGCTGCTGGCCCAGGGAATTCATCATTCACCATTCAATCAGATTTTCAAACCAGCGCAGCAGCCAGCGTCACGCATTGGGTGGTTTGGAAATTCACATTGAGGAGGGGTTGCAGGAGGAGATTCCCAGCCAATTCATACGGCACAGAGGAATATATAACGATAGGGATATTGCAAGGGAACATGTCAAGATACAACACACTAAGCTCAGAAAAGAAAAAACTTAAAATAAAAAAAAATTAAAAAGAAAAAAAAAAAACAAAAAACAGTTTTTGCTTTTCGTTGTAGCAAAAGAAAAAAAAAAAAGAGAAAATAAAAAAAGAAAAAAAAAAAAAAAAGAAAGAAAAAAATAAAAAAGAACCTACAAACAGCCCCACCCGAACCAGCGTGAGAGCAATGAGGGCCAGCAGAGGGGCTGCTCTCACTCCTATGGGGGCTCAGAGAGGAACAACGCTGCCATTGGGGTCCGGGATCAATGGTGACAGAGCAGCCACGAGTGGCTTTGAGCTCAGTGAGCACAGAGAGGGCATCAGCACAGCCCCACGTCGGTCACTGAGGAAAGGAGGCAGGAGGTGGGACGTCCTGCCCTGCACAGACACTCCCAAACCCCTTCCAACCTCCCCCGCCGTTCCCCTTCCACCCCCCCCAGTGCTCAGAAAAAGATGGATTCAGAGATTTTGAAAGCAATTCTTGGTACAAAGATCCATCCGAAATCAGAATTGGAGAGTAACTGCCTGGGGGCAGACGTGGCACTCCTTCCTAAGCCCTCCCTTAAAGAAGCTGATCCTGGAAAGGCTGACTTCCAAGAGAGAAGCAAAAGCCCAAAGGGGAACAGGGACAGCCTGGGATGAGGCAGGTAAGAGGTTTACACCAGAGAAGAGAAAACTCCTGCTTCCAGCTCAGCTAAGTATCCCCAGATTTGGGAGCAACCAGACAGCAGCCTGGGGAGTTGGATGCATCCCATAACCCCAGCCCTGGACATACGGTGAGAACGGACCAGACAACACTGAGAGCTCCAGCACAGAGCAGAGAACACGGCTGGGCTCTGACAGAAGCGGGAGGTGAACAGCAGAACAGACAAGAAGAGAAAGCCAGGGATGCTGCCAGGAAGAGCCTGAGCTGGTCACTGCCTCTGCCCGAGCTGAGCAGATCACAAGCTGCATCCCCTCGTGTGACATCCCAAATGCATTGGGCCCACCCAAAAGGAGCCTGCCCTGACACGGGGTCTAGCTCAGAGCTGGAGCTCCTGCCACAGGGCCCGAGTCAGGGACCAGCAAGGACTGTGCTGCACACAGCCTGGGCTCTGTGGGACCTGAGCTCTGTGGGACCTGCTGCACACAGCCTGGGCTCTGCGGGGTCGGGAACAGCCGAACGCCTGCTGTACAAACCTCACGCAAAGGCTGCTTGGCCGGGCTTCACAGCCCTTAATGAGCACCAGCAAACAAAAGCAGAGCTCTGAGGGGATAAAGGAGCTGGGGTTGGACCGCAGCACCGCCCCAGGGGGCCGTGCCAGCCCTGCCAGGCACTCCTGTCCTCACACTGAGGCAGCACTTGAACCGACACGGCGCAACCGAGCCGCATCAGGACATCAACCAAACCCCTCACGAAACCTAACCATTCCTCGAACCAAATCCAAGAGCGAGGTTAGAAAGCGAGTTTTTTTACTTACCCCAACTCTCCACCTGCAGGAGAAAGGGTTACAGGGGAGGCCCAGCACGGCACGATACTCACCGATGAGGAACGACTAAAGGACCGGCTGCGGCGCCGCCTCCGCCTGTGCTTACGCCGGCTGCTTTTGCAGCTCCGGTAGCTGCCGTCCCGGTCCCGGGAGCGTCGGTACTCGTAGGAATGCCGGTACTCGGGGTCGTAGTAGGGCTCTCCTCGCTCCCGGCTGTAATCGTTGCGGCGGTAGCTGTCGCAGTAACGGCGGTCGTAGGCCCTCCTGTCTGCTGAGTGGTCGTCGTAGCTGCGGAGGGGAAGAGAGGCAGGGGGGGGGATCAAATGTGGAATGGGTTGGAGGGTCGCAGATATAGAGTGGAGTGGGGTGGAGGATCACACAGACAGGATCAGAGTGGGTTGGCTTGGAGGATCACACACAGAATCAGAATGGGTTGGAGGATCACACACAGAATCAGAATGGGTTGGAGGATCACACAGAATCAGAATGGGTTGGAGGATCACACAGAATCAGAA